CTGATGCGGAGGATGTGCTGGTGCTTGTTGTGATGGTCTTATCGGAGTAGCTTCTGCTGATCCTTTTGGAACAAGGGTGGGAGTAGTGGGAGCAGGAGAGTGTGACGGTGCGAGAGGTTGGTGCAGGCTGCTGCGGACGGATGCTGGCGACACCTCTGCATCTGCTGCTGCTGCTGGAGTTGCGCCCACAGGTGGAGTGATCTGCTCTTTTCGATTTACCTCTATGCCAGCAGGCAGCGTTGCATTTGTGGTATCAGTGCTGGTCTCGACTGCTGGAGGCTTCGAGGCTACCTCTGTGATTGTCTGAGGGTTTTCAATTTGCGGCGTTTTCACTCGTTCAGTATCAGTTTGCTGCCTCTCGTTCTCCTCTTCAGCCTTTTCGAGTTCCGAGATTTCAGCTTGCAGTCTAAGATAGTCGTCCTCTTCCTGTCGTATTTCTTTAATGGCCTGTTCCCTGAAGCGAGCATAGAGTTTGTCTGCTAGGGCTTGCAATATTCTCTGTTCATCACCGTCACTTCCAGCCGCAGCTGGGGGTGGAGTGGGCGAGGTGGACAACTTCCGCTTTCGCGGGTTCGTACCATGTTTCGCATTGTCGCCATTCACCATAGGAGGACTCTGTGTTTTTCTCTCTTCGACCAGGAGCTCATGGTATAACCCTTGCAGTGCCGCGGCAGTCAAACGAGTCTGATCGTACGACTCACTCTCGCGAATGAGCTGATTGGCATTCAAGGCGGTCGCAATACCCTCAAAGGCAGCGGTATCGGAGCCATGATGGACGACAGATTGGCAGAAAGCGAGGGTCTCGTAAGGTGTATAGGCTTTTAGTGAAGGCATCCCATCGTCGCGGTGGTTGAAGGAACAAGTCGCTCTACCTAGAGATGCGACCAAGCGTGCCTCTTTGGGAAAGTCAAAACCACGAGCCCTATGGGGGGCGCAAGGGCCCAGGAACGCGTCAAGGGGCGATCTTGGAAGTGAGAGGCACAAGGGGCGTGGTGGTGGAGATGGAATAAAGAGAAATGCGGTGACACGAAATGAAACTGCTCAGTGCTTTAACGGTGAAATTTGCAAAATTGTTTGATGCGACAAACACGCTACACACTGTTTGGTGCGGGAAAAGGTGCAAGACGTGAGGGAGCGGGAAGCAGGTCATCCAACTGGTGCGAGCCTAACCGAACGTGCTTGGTCTTCTCGGTGCCCAGCTGCGCCAGCAGAGGCCAGTTGCTCCCAGAGTCCCAACGAATACCAGTGGTTTCAAGGCGCAGGCGGTCAAATTACTAGGGCTGAATGCCGGGGATCGGCATACCCCAATCATCTTGGAGACGCCTAACACTTCTAGTCCCTGCGCCCTAAACTCTCCCGGGGGTGGCCTGCTGTGCCCGCTCCTCAGGGACCGTCTTGACCAGTGAACCCCTTTTTGCTAGGATGCTGGGCGCGACAATCTCGTCAAGGATGCGGTCTGCCTCAGATGGTAGACCAGCACCTAGGCAATTACGACCTCTATCTCTATCTATTATTCCTCCCTCGCACCTGGGCAGACGGCATGAACCAGTCTGCCTAAGGCTCATCGCTTCCTCCAAGGTTTCGTTCACTTGATTTCAATCAAGTGACCCAATTCGTCGTTGATCAGATCTGCTGCCTGCACGACTTATACTCAACTACAAATATATCGATATCTCGACAATTTCGTTTCGCTGTTTGATCCTTCATTGTCCTCCTCCCAGCCTCTTCACACGATAGCACACAGACACACGTATACAATGGACACATCGAACGAAGTGAATCCCGATGCGGGCTGGCAACCAAATGGGCGCCCCCAGTCGTAAGCATCCGCCCGCAAGAAGCCGCCCAGGCATACAGTCCCTCCAAAAGGTTTCCCAGCTAACTCGACTCCTCTCCTGTCCAGAACAATTGCCCTTGACTTCTCTGCTACACTGGACGACCTTTTCAAGCTCAACGGTATTGGCGCACTGGAGGAAGCTGTGGTTCAGAAGTACGCCGCATCCCAATCCACCCCTGCCCCCTATGCCAGTCGAACAAGGCTAACCGCAATACCTCGGATTACAGACAAGACACTGTCCTTTCGCAGAGATACGAACTCGAGACGCTAGAAACAAAACTGCGTGAAGCAGATGAAAAGCTGAAACGACTTGAAGCAAAGCACAGACGACAGCAGAGCACAGTCATCACCAAACGGAAACCCGTGTCTGCCAATGCTTTCGGCCTGGCGGATAACGAAACGGAGGAAGACAGCTCCGGCGACAGTGACGGCCAGCAAGGCCGATCTCCTTCGTCGGCGAGGGCAGATGGCCCCGGATACAACAACTCGCGAACATGAATGCCGGTTCCTGCTTGCTGACTCATGCTAATCCCCAGTTTGCAACATGGTTGATGGATGGGATCGTACCTTGTCTGGCTACGGGATGGCACACATACCCCCTTTGGTGTTATGACGCATTGGGTAGAAATCAGGTTGTTTTGGCGTTTGGGATACCCGGCTTCTCTCGGTCTCGAGAAATCGAAGAGCCTACACTCGTTCGGGACATCTTTACAGAGTACTTGATTGCTCTAATCCTAATGACACAGCGTCGAGCTTTGCTTGTCGCGCTCTGCTCTTTGGCAATATGATCTTAGTCATGCGTGAAATGTGTAGCTGTCTCTGATATTTCGCACGATGTGGTCGGCCTTGCTTCTTTGCATGCTTGGATGATGCTCAATTCACTCACTCACTCACTCCGCCTTGACCGCCACCGAGCAGCACTACGTAGCTGCTTTGAGATTAGCTTAATGTAGCTGCAGGCTTTGCGTTCAAACTTCCCTCGAAGCTGGGAAGCATCTCAGGCCCACTCGAATCATAGTTTGGGGGGAGAGAGAGAGAGAGAGAGGGAGATAGGAGGAAAACATGGAGAAAAATGCATACCCCGTATAGGTGAGTATTAATGATAATAATGATAGAAGCTGATTCGCCGACATAAACCGAACCCGAACCCGAACCCGAGCGAGTATCAGTATCAGCCTCAGTATCAACCGTTAGAATCAGACGTTACGTGGGCTACGTGCCCTGAGGTACGAGCCTGCATGCAATATGCAAGGCCCCCTCCTCCCCCACAGCCATAGACAACAATGGATTCATTCATTTCTCAGATAAAGACACAAGCTACGGCTAGGTATATCCCTACCTCCCTGGTACCTGGGTACATACATAGGGACGCCGTACAGGTAGCACGCGTGACGACTACATTCTTACATCCTTATTGGCACGTCAGTAGGTCTATGACCGAACTGCAACCCGGCACCAGGCCCCACACTTGGGTCCTCGGACAGTCCAGCTGGCTGAATCAGATCAAATCAGACCAAATCAGGTCATATTTATTAACTAAGTATACACGTGTTATACGCGTCAACCAGATATAAACCTGGTCGATTAGAGGGGATAAGGGGCAAGAGAAGTGCTTTTCCTTCAGGTGCGTCCTCAGAGTTTATTCGTCCAGAAGCTTCGCTGTTCGGCCTTATTTCCTACTCGTAATCGACACAGCGGGGGCCTGAGAGCTGCAAAATAGACTCTCGTGAGAGAAGTTGGACGGAAAGGGAACAGGGATTTGTTTCCAGAGAGAGGGGGAGAGGGTTGTGTGGTATATATACCACACAGTCCGGCCCTCCGGATTGTCCTCTGCCCGTACTGCTTTTCGATACGGGAGTGGTCTCCGGCTAAAGTTGACTCAAGATCTCCGTCCTAGGCCTTGACGAGAAGGACAAGATACAAATGGCGACGACGACAATGAAGGCCGTCGTGATTCACGAGGCCGGTGGACCCGAAGTCCTCAAGGTCGAACAGCTTCCAATCCCAACGCCCAAGGAGGACGAGGTTCTCATCCACATCAAAGCCTTTGGCCTCAATCGCTCCGAGCTCTTCACTCGCCAGGGACACAGTCCCGGCGTCAAATTCCCCCGCGTGTTGGGCATAGAGGCCGCTGGCATCGTGGAAAAGTGTCCCAGCGGCACCTTTAGGACTGGCCAAAAGGTTGCCACTGCCATGGGAGGTATGGGTCGAGACTTCGACGGCGGCTATGCCCAGTATACCAGCGTCAAGGTGGACAACACGCAGGCCTTGGACACCGACTTGGACTGGACCATCGTCGGTGCTGTCCCAGAGATGTTGCAGACGAGTTACGGGTGTCTATTCAAAGCACTCAAATTGAGGAGCGAGGAGCGTCTGCTCATTCGAGGGGGGACGACTTCTGTCGGATTGGCGGCTGCGGTCATTGCGAAGAACCATGGTTGCTTTGTTGCCGGAACAACAAGACATGCCGGTAAAGCGACTGCCGAGTTGATGCAAAAGAGTGGAATTGATCGCATCATTATCGACGATGGACACGTTGCTCAGCAGGTTCAGGACAACAAATTCGACAAAGTCCTGGAGTTGGTGGGGACCACCACTCTGAGAGATTCCTTGCGGTGTGCTGTCAAGGGAGGAATCGTGTGTATGGCTGGCATCGTTGGTAAGTCAAGAGTGTTTGCTATCTCGTTCGGATTGGCCTAACAAGCATTTTGTAGGAAACAGTTGGACCATGGAAAACGTCTCCCCAATGGAGCTCATCCCTCATACTGTCTGCTTGACTGTTTATTCCGGGGGCCCAGATGAATTCAGAGAAACCCCCCTGAACGATTTGCTCAAGCAGATCGAGGCGGGCACCTTGCCTGTCCAGATTGGAAGGGTGTTCAAGTTGGACCAGATTGTTGAGGCGCACGATACCATGGAGAAGAACCTCGCGCGTGGCAAGATTGTGGTCTTGACAGAATGAAGATCCACAAGAAAGTGTAGAGAACGGAACTGCCTTGTGATCCGTTAATCCAAGTGCATCGAGCAACGATGCTAGGGAGCGCGAAATGACATGCATGATGAACTGCTCTTTTGCATTCCTCCCTTAAATGTCTGAGTGAGCATATACCAACATTTGCCACCATCGGCTGGAATCACCATTGTAAACTTTTTGTTGAATGGATCAGCTGCTTTGATTTGTGGCCAGAACTGCCCTGCGGCGTAGCTTCTCGCGCTTCTTTGCGCCGCTCATCGGCTTACGAGGACGCGCAGCCCTCTTCGGCTGAGGCTTTCCCATATTCCACATTTGCCATATATCGAGACAGGTTCGTTGTCCAACGAACTTGCCATTGGGAGTAAAGACCTCGACTTCAGGAAACCTTGGAGAGAGCCCCGATTCTTCACCAGTCTGAATGGAGGAGAATGGAGTAAACGTGCTCGTATCAATCGACAGGCCTTCAGCGCTAGGGACATCCGATCCGGTGGAATCTGGTCCCGTAGAATCTTCAGCAAGTGGCCCAGGCTGATGTAAACGTCTGCTTTTTCTGACCTGACAGACTAGCTCCACCCATCCGACCCCTTCGATGAGTATGTCTGTTGCGTAGACACGAAATGGCAACTTCTCGATGTTGACTCCAGCTCTGATCATGGAGCCTGCTCTGGATTTTGTGACATCGGTTTGTAATTTGAATTGACCCGCAGAAGCCATGCAGTTCCCTGCGCCTTCAGCTAGGATTGACTCTACACCGCCTTCACGTTCTTGCATTTGCGTGCTACATGCCTTCTCCGTGGATGTGACATGAGTTTTGAGCGGAACAAAGGGGTACGCCAGCATGGTGGTACTCGGGTCAGCTTCGTCGAGGAGCGGTGTGATCCGGACCAATCCCCCTCCTAGGAGCAGAGATTGACCGGGCTTGATAATGTGTTGGGCGACCGTCGGCCGATGTACCATGACCAGGTCGGTCCGATCTTCGGGTTTGACATACTGGTCGAGGCCTCCACGTTCTAGGCCCGGCATATCAATCAGCTCTCCTTTGTGGTTGCCGAAGGGAAGTCGAATCGGAGATGCTGTCGTCCCCGGCAGACTTGACACCAAAGGCATGGATGGAAAAGGAACCTCAGGCTGAGGGGGAGGTAGTAAGTTTTTCTCGGAGAAAAAGGTGGTATCGGTAGATTTATGCTCTGCGGCAACCTCCTGCTGTCGCTGAATCTCTGCATATACAGGCGCTCTGCCGGCGGATCCCTTGGGGAAAAGGACCTCAAACAGATTTGACTTTCCCACATTGAACTTTCCAACAAGCCAGTTGCCGCCTCCCCTGCGCCAAATGCTTTCTTTGATATCCTTGGTCCACCATCCTCGCTTCGACGAGACCAGATGCACGTTGCCCAGCCGGAGCTTTTGTCCCATGCGACCCAAGGCAGTCCTCAGAATAGCGATGAATTTAGGCATCATGCCATCTACCATCTCTTTGGTTGGAGCCAGGAGATCGGATCTGGTGATGATGAAGGATACAGAGGGTCGGGTTGAAAACGAGTGCTGAGACCTACGATTCTGCGTTCGAGGCTTTGCCAAGGAGAGGCTCTTGTAGACTGAAGGGATGACAGACATGGGGAAATCTGCTGCATCAAGGACGTGATAGACATGGTTCCTGGAGAAAGGAGACTCAGCGATCGAGTCCGCAATGGCTTCAACCGAAGGATGCGCAATAGGGACACCGCGGGAGTCATGGATCAAATAATGACACCTATCGCAGATAGGAGGTGTTCTCTGGGGCTGAGGCTGGACTATGCCGTGCTCGTCTCGTGGATTTTCATCATGTTGGGAGGTCTGGACATGTGCCACATCTGTGCCTAGGTCTCCTTCATTCTGTACCCGACTCGAGCTCTCGAGGTTGTTGAGATATTTCACCACCGCTTTTCTTGACAATGTGTAGAAACCTGCTTGTCCAGAGTCGACATCTTGCGTGAGCGCGCCGCAACCAGGACAGGACACTGGTAGGCGTGCGGGACCCAAATTCCCTTGTTCAACCAGTCGGCCCCGTGATATGGACGATTGCTTCGGAGGCGGTAGCAAAACATTTGTCGACAGCACAGGACGAGAAAGGGCCTCTGGACGAAGTCGCTCGAGCTCAGCAGTGGCAAAGGAGAGAGGACGACGGCTGGAGGAAAAGTAACGGCCGCGGAGTTGGGGGGTGCGCGATTTCACGGCTGGTGAACATGATGAACGCCAACACCGAGGGACCAATTCCATTTGAGAGAATCAGCTCATACCCGTCGAAAGCGTCGTAGCTAGGCGTGCTGCGTGCTGAGAGAAGTCGATGTGACAAATATCGGAGCTATCGTGTGTACGGGGTATGTGTGTTTTTCGTGTGAGAATATGCGCCAGGGGATTGTCGAGCAAGAATTGTCAGGGATGTGGCTCTGTAAATTTACCGCATGGAGGAATTATCTCATCGATACGGCAACTTTATCCTCCACTTTTCCCACTTTTGCCTCATTGCCTTCTAAACCTTCCAGACTTTCGGGGCTTATACCTCTTGGTTCATCGACCGACTTTTCCCTGAGTTGCATCTTATGCCTGCTCAGCTTCCAAAGGAGCAGTTACCAACGACCTCTTGTGGATGTGGTGGCCTGTCTGCTTCAACATGACTCAGCCTACATAGCATGCCTGCCTATCATGTCACTCCAAAGACGAGGACTATGTCGATCACCAACCTCTCGAGGCCCTCCTTGGACTTGCTACCTGTCCCTGGTCTACCGTTTTCTTTCCCGAGAAGGCTGAGGACGATGCTCACGATGGGACATGGTCAAGTCCTTGCCAGAGGGTTGACGAATCATTCCGAGATGACCAGGCTATTGGCTTCACGGATCAGTGATCTGTCATACTTAGCGGATATCGCCCCTGTCCAGTGTGCCAGGTATGGCAAAAGGTGAGTACTTTTGACAAGCCTTGCTCTGAAGAGGTTGTAGGGCATCCCTTTGCCCAGGAAATACTGCAGTCAGCTCCCAAGAAGCCAGTCTCTTACGGGCGACACGACTTGCCAGGTCTGCCTATATAACGTCGTTCGGGACGCTCGATGGCAAAATGGTTCTCCTCTTGAACAAGGAATCTCGTGAGAGAGCAAAAATCTGTCCCTTGTATACTGACTATCACACTTCCCAAGACAATCGCATACGTCTCTTCTGTGAAAATGAGCCCCTCAATGCCAGACAGATTCGACTTCATCGTCGTCGGCGCCGGTGCAGCAGGGGCGATCCTCGCAGCTCGTCTGGCAAACAGCAAGCATCGCCCTTCGGTCCTTCTCATCGAGGCTGGCGGGAAAAACGACTCCAAGGACGTTCGAGCGGACGCAGAAAGGTGGCTTCATCGAATGATCCCTTCGCAGAATTGGGGTTACAAGACTGCACCCATCAAAGGCTTCGGTGGGAACATCATTGATTACGATCGTGGCAAAGGGCTTGGGGGAAGCACCGCCATCAATTTCTCCGTCTGGACCGTCGGTCCAAAGGATGACTATGATCAGATCGCAAATCTCGTGGGCGACGACGAATGGAGCTGGAACAATGCTCAGAAAAGATACAAGCGGCTCGAATCTTTTCACGCGACTGCTCCGAATGTACCAGGTGATGCCAAGCGGTATCTTAACCCTGACCCAAAGGACCATGGGCACGACGGGCCTATCAAGGTCGGCTTTCCACAGGTCTGGGAGCCTTCGTGCACGGCACTGATGGACATCTGGTATGCCAACGGTACAAAGCCCAACGCCGACCATAATTCCGGAGACCCAATCGGTCTTGCCGCCTGCGTTTCTAGTGCATACAAAGGGATCAGATCGACATCCGCAGACGCGTTGGTGGGGGCACCCAGCAACCTACACGTCTTGGTTGACGCTGAGGTGGCTCAAGTGACTTTCGATGGCACAAAGGCGACCGGGATTAAGACGACTGGAGGGAAGGTTTTCCAAGCCGACAAAGAGGTCATTTTATCGTGTGGTGCCCTCGACACACCAAGAATTCTGATGCATTCTGGCATTGGCCCCGTGGACGAGCTCAGCAGCTTCAATATCCCCATTTTGAAAGCCAATGAAAACGTCGGGAGGCACCTCAAGGATCACCACCACATCATGATCCCATCCCTCCGAGCAGACCACACGAGTGAGAGGACCCGCTTTTACAAAAACAAGGAACTTCAAGCAGCTGCCCGAGCCGCTTGGGAGAAAGACGGTACCGGGCCCTTGGCGGAATATGGCTGCGCTCTGGGTATCGCATACCTGAAGCTGGATAAATTGTACGACAGCGCCGAGTTCCAAGCTCTACCAAAGGAAGATCAAGAAAAACTGCGGAAGCCGACAGTTCCTCACTACGAGTTCCTCCTCAATGCTGCATGGCTTCCCAATTTCATCGACCCAGAAAACGCACAGGCCGGAACAACCGTGTTCGTTTTCATCCTCAATCAGATGTCGACGGGCGCCGTGAGACTCCAGTCGTCTGATCCCACCAAACCACTTATCTTCGATCCCAACTTCTTCTCCCACCCATTTGACAGACGGGTGGCCGTGGAGGCTACACGAGATGTTCTGAGGGTCCTGAAGAGCCCCGAGTTCCAAAAAGACACCCTGGCTATCGACGGCCCCAAGAGTGAGTCTGAGGATGATATCCTGGCCTTCTGGCGTGCGGGCAGCGCTTCGACATGGCACATGATGGGGACTGCTCGGATGGGCAAGGATGAAGACAAGGCCGTTGTGGACAACCACTTCAAGGTTTTTGGAGTGGAGAATCTCAGAGTGGCTGATATGAGTGTCATCCCCATTGTTTCCAAGTAAGTCATGCGACTGAAGGTCGACATATCTGAGACATTTAGGCTAACAAGGCTCTACAGCAACCACACTCAATCAACGGCGTATCTCGTGGGGCTGACAGCAGCGGACAAGCTAGTTGAAGAATATGGACTTGACGGGTAATCGGCCCAAGCGTCAACACGGCTGATGGGGTCTCCATGTTGCCTTGAAAGATGTTAGCGAGCGGCAGTTCGGTGACTAGGTAATGGTAGTCTTTTTTCTTCTCGATTTTGAGACAGAGACCCGTACTCGTATGATCTGGCACAGCCCAAACAAACTACAGTATCAGCCAGGTACTTGTTTATGCTCCCGTACTTCCCCGTGTCTACCGAGTAACATGATATGAGAGCAACAACAACTTGGGAAAACACCTAGTGGCGAGAGTTCAATAGGTATTCGGTACTTTGTACGGAAGTACCTACCAGTACACACGGTGCCGAAAATAGAACGCCCGTACTTGTACCGAGTACGGAGGAGGAGACTATCCCCCATGGCCTAGTAAGTTTTGAGTGCCTAGTTCAAAAGGGTTCGCTTGTAAGGCTCCGTAATTCCCCCCTGTGAGTACCGAGTAAGTTCCACGGGCACTTCCCCCAAGTAGGTACATATAACAAACATATCGGCGCTGAGGGTGTGATGTCAACGTCCCCCCACTGGGGCTCTTAGTCTGTTCTCTCAGTGGGTAGAGCCTATAGGTGCGCCCCCAATCAAGCAATTTAGCCCCTGACCCTCGCGCGCCGATGACCCGAGGCTTGCCCCTGGTGCCCTGTCAAGTCCTGGGGCTTCCCTAATTCTGCCTGTTGACTCTCACTGACGCCCTGCATCTTGTTTCTCAGTGGCCTTGGCAAATTCCCCTCTGCAAAACAGTCCTCGATCAATGCCACCACCACCACCAGAACCACTTTTTTCCCTCTAGAAGCAGTCGGATGGCGATGAGGTCTACTACTCTCGTCTCGTCTCCCTCCGCCCAAAGTAACCCCTCGTGAACGACGCCGATCGTGCCTGCCCTGCGCCCCTAGCATTATTGTTGGCGTCTGTGACGGGACAATATGCTGGAGCTCCTTCTCCTTCACTTCGACTATCCGTGCTGCGACACCCTCCCAGGAGATTGATTGTTGGATTACTCTGGCGTGTCCGCCTTGGGACTTGCTTTCTAAGCGAATGAACATCGTGACCAAGGCACCAGACTATACCTATACACCATACACTACGCAAACACCACTTGCTCTGCCACCTAAGCCCTTAGCACTTTCTGAGACATCGAAGCGGCGTCGGTGGACTGGCTTCACTGGCCCACTCTTTATGAATATCTCGCTCGCCTCGCCCCATCACCAGGATCTGAGGCTCTGTCGCAATTCTACATGACGACAATGGCGTCGCTGCCATCATCTGCGTCCCACGACCACCATCCCAGCCGGCCTCGACCTCGCAATGTCCAGCTAACTCGGAGTACAAGCCATGATCAACCCAAGGGCACCGACCTCAATCGACCCCTACCACCGCCCCCAGTCAGTGCTGCGGCCGAGACATTCGAGATTCCTACCCTACGTCGAAAACCCCTCCCCGAATCACCAGATTCTAGCTCCGCGAAGCTCAACCACAGTCGGTCCTTCAGTCACCCCTTTCCCTCCATCTTTGGTTCCAAAAAGTCGGAGAAAAAGAGCAAGCATGGCATTGATTTTGATGGAACGCGCGATACTCGGCACGAAGAGGGAAATATGAGGCAGCAAGCTGCTGAAGCTTCCGTGCCACGGGGTGACCGCCAGCCGGTAACTGGGAAGTGTATGACCTGTGACTCTACCGTCCGATGGCCCCAGGGACTCAAGGTGTTCCGATGTACAACCTGCCTGACCATCAATGATCTCGAGTACAGCTCGGAGGCCAAAGATGATGCCCAGGCATCGGCGGCTGGATCCTCATCCCAGCGCAAATTCGTATGCGTGTCTCTTGAGAGAACGAGATCACTACTTGATCGCTGTCTGAGACACTATCTCGAGTCTCGCATTGAGTACGACGGGATTTCTTCACCTACTCACCCAATACCAATCGACAATCACTCACCAGCCGAGGATTCGTTCCTGTTGGATGGAACCCCACCAGAAGGTGTGCTGGAGGGACAGCCCACGGATGAACAGGACTCACCACCACCGTCGCCACATCCTGGAATGAAACCACCCAGCTATGAGGAAGCCAACCTATCTCCTCGCCACGCAAACCGACATCCCGGGCCATCCTTTGTTCAAGGTTACCCAGCTGACCCCTTCAATTCATTACCCTCGGTCCACAACAGGCCGCAGAGCTCTAGAGGACGACAACCATTAGAGCCTGTACAGCACTCAATCACGACGTCTGGCCCAAGATCCGACGTCTTCCGTCTAGTCGAAAACTACATTGCTGGTTGCTTTGTAGGTTGTACCACGTTAAACCAGTCTTTCCTCACCCCTCGTCCACCTCAGGAACCTAAACCCAGGTCTGGTTCAGGGACACACCAGAGGCGGCAATTGTCCGAACCTGCTTCGGCTCCTGTACTAGAGCCTGATGTCTTTCTATCCGAGCTTGACGCAAAAACCCTTTTGCTTGGCGATGTTGCGGAGAACGGATCATGGTGGTTAGGCGCCCCGAATGGGCGTGCGGCTATGTCGGTCAGAGAATCTCATCATCAGCGAGAGAGGTCCCCAGAGAAGAGTCGCAGTTCTGCAAGTGGGAGACATCCAAGAATCAATTGGCTCGAACTTGCCGAGTGGTATCGCTCATTGATATATGCGGGCGATCACTGGGAACAACGTTGGCACGAATTGAGGCCAAAGTTGACGGATCCAAAGGCACAGCAATGTTGGCAGTCGACCCCTTTAGAGAGTATTCAGCGAGACATCATGGAATCCCGAATACACTTACAGCGGAGCCTGTTGAAGATCACGGAAAATCTCTTGAAACGGCCAAGGCAACCGTTGAAGCGTCCCGAGGATTGTCGATTCTTACTGATCCTTCTAGCTAACCCGTTATTGACACCCTCGAGGCTTGAGACAGGCAAGATGTTTGGGGTTACCATACCTCACCCTCCGGTCCCGGCAGGAAAACAAGTTGACGATAGAGCCCGTGACTCGCCATCGAAACGTGTTCCAAGCGGCGGTAGGCGCCCAGGAAGTCTCGGCCATCACTCTGGCATCATCAAGCGGATTCTGGGCCTGATGGCTAATCTCTCTCATGAAAATCACCAGTATCTGGTTTCATGGTTTTCCAGATACTCTGACGGCCACTTCCAAAGGACGGTGGAAATGGTTGGCAGTTTCGTGAGTTACAGACTATCCCGACAACAGAAAACCCCAGCCCACGAACTCATCAATCCCACAGAGGGCCTCGTCCCTAGCTTCTCTGACTCTGGGATGCACCATGCCTCTCAAGTTCACGCCGCACTAGGGGGTCGACATTCTTCCACTTCAGCGGACAAGTCTGACGGAAAGCCGAAGCTCTCTTCGTACGGCGAAGACTGGCAAATCCGCGTGGCCGCAAGGGTCATGGCTCTGCTGTTCCACGCCAATGTTGGCCATACTGCGCGGAAGAGGGACGCCTTTGCGGCACAGGAGCAGAGGTTACATAGTCCAGGTCTCAATGCCAAGTACCACGCATACTCCCATGGTCAGATTATACCCATCAGCAACTTCTACAATACGATGCTGGACTATGCCGATCTTGTGGCCGACTTCGAAACTTGGGAGACGACCAAGACAAAGTTCACCTTCTGCCAGTATCCCTTCTTTCTGAGCATATATGCCAAGATCCACATCCTCGAGCACGATGCGCGAAGACAGATGGAAATCAAAGCAAGAGAGGCCTTTTTTGACAGCATCCTCAGTCGCAAAGCTGTCAGTCAGTACCTCATTCTCAAGGTCCGACGAGAATGCTTGGTCGAGGACAGTCTGCGTAGTGTCTCGGAGGTTGTCGGATCTGGCGGTAGTGACATCAAGAAAGGCCTGCGCATTGATTTTCAGGGAGAAGAAGGGGTTGATGCAGGCGGTCTTCGTAAGGAATGGTTCCTGTTACTGGTGAGAGAGATATTTGATCCTCACCATGGACTGTTCGTTTATGATGACGATTCTCAATACTGCTATTTCAATCCCTTTTGCTTTGAGTCATCCGAGCAGTTCTTCTTGGTTGGGGTGTTGGTCGGGCTGGCCATCTACAACTCGACTATTTTGGATGTGGCGTTTCCGCCGTTTGTCTTCAAGAAGATGTTGGCTTCGGCGCCTGCAACCGGCGACAAGTTGTCGTCAATCCCCAAAGTCGGCCACGGGTTCACCCTCGAAGACCTGGCTGAGTTTCGACCTGCCTTGGCACGAGGTTTCAGACAACTGCTTGAATTTGAGGGTGATGTCGAGGAGACATTCTGTCGCGACTTCGTGGTTGAAATGGACCGTTACGGTGATATTATCCAGATCCCACTGTGTCCCGGCGGCGAGAAAAGGGCAGTTAACAACTCGAATCGACGAGAATTTGTCGACCTCTACATCCATTATCTACTCGACACAGCTGTGGCAAGACAATACGAGCCGTTCAAGCGTGGCTTCTTCACCGTCTGTGGCGGCAACGCGCTGTCCCTATTCCGACCCGAAGAGATCGAGCTTCTCGTGAGAGGCTCTGATGAACCACTTGACATCGCCAGCCTGCGCGCAGTGGCGACATACGAAGGCTGGCCTAAGCAGGAAGGACCGCCCGAAAATCAACCCCAAGTTGTCTGGTTCTGGGAATTTTTTGCACGCGTATCACCAGGAGATCAACGGAAAATCCTGAGTTTCATCACGGCAAGCGATCGAATCCCAGCCATGGGCGCCACAAACCTAGTGATCCGTATCCAGTTGATCCGTGCCAAGGAGGAAATGGATGAATTCGGAAGACCAACAAACAAGCCGGTGGAACGGTTCCCTATCGCGAGAACATGTTTTAATACTCTGAGTTTGTACCGATACGCGTCGCGGGAGAAGTTGGAGGAGAAGCTCTGGATGGCAGTGATGGGTAGCGAAGGATTCGGTCTGAAATAGATCTTGTGGTTATGAGCTGGGCTGGTGCACGATATGGGCGAGGCAAGAGGCAAGAGGCCAGAGACAGATGCCGCAGGACGAAATAGGAGCCACGACGTTCTCTGTGTTGGATCATGTGTCACGCATTTCTCTGGGGTTGGTTTCGGGAGCGTCGGCGCTGGTGTTGGAAGTTTGAGAGTCGAAGCATTTTACCGGCCCGTGGCAACCGTTGGGAAACAGGCGCCGCTTGGGAGCATGGCAAGGGAATCTGAACTGAGTAGTTTGGACTCAGTTCATGAGTGTTGAATCGCACTGCATCGCATTGCACCTTGGTTGTATTGGGTCAAGAAAGAGGAGCAAAAGGAAAGGTTGCCTTTGGGCTCCCGAACATATAAAGCAAAAGTTGGGACAACGCATGCCACAAGTATAGGAAAGTCACGGGCGATCAACCGTCTTGTTTTCTGTTTCTCTTTGGTTTCTATATGACAGATGAGTGAGCGACGCCCTGATGGCCAAATCGTGTTCATCTCGCCATCTCGAAAAAGTAGTAGAGGACATAGTCGTGGTGAAAATCAAAAGGGCAAGCAAGGTAGAGGTAGAGGGCGTGGTGATACAAGAGAAGAGAACTATTAGATCATGGCACTATCCCAGTATCGCATTAATAATGCTAGCGACGAGGAACGAGCAGGCAAGGAGGGGAAGGAGGGCCGCGGGGAAAAGATTGACAAGCCAAGACAGACGAGTGCTTGTACTTGAAGGTAACAAGGGATGGACAGACTATGGCATCATGGCATGGAGACCATGAACACAGTGAACGACCTCCTACCTGGCCTGTCTTGTGGTGTGAGCGGAGGGCGGTCCGGTTGATCTTGTTGTGAATGTGTCTCTCCCTCATCCACATTTCGCTTCTTGCCCCTGAAAGCCACAGGTCCGGTGAGTCACGCGACGAGGCCACAAAGTCGCGCGCACAAACTCGTAGAGAGTTGGCGGGAAAAGATTCAAGCGCAGACGCGTGTGGGATTTTCTCGGTGCTGACTGAAGGAGTCAGGAACGCAGGTACTTCTGGGCAAAAATAATTGAGTCCAGTCACCCCCTGTGTTTTCGCGCCGTTGTTGGCTTGTTGGCAGTGGTGACATGTACCCGTCGATCGAATCGGGAACAAGGTTGTTCCTGGGTGCATCCGCATCCGTCAGGGCAAAAAAGACCGAGCAAGACCTCAGGGCAACAGCTCTCAAGCTCGGGCGCTAGAGTGCAACTTTGATTAGCCGTGTGAGACAGGTTCCAGACGAGTCTGGAACTCTCCCAGTGGTTCAAATCTGCTTCACAATGGACCAAGGGCGAATGATAAGTCCTGCCTCAACATCGTGAACGGTCCAGGTCCCAAGGCTGCGCTCACCGACTTTCCCAGGACCACTGGATCTGTTTGTCGAGAAAGAAACCCCCCCGATCTTGCGGAGGAATTTGCCCGAAGTGCAGACGAGGGTCATTAGTGAACAAGCTCGGAAACGGGGAAGCTGGGCTAGACAAGATCTTTGGCTCTGGTCTCAGATATCTGGCTCTGAGAATAATGAGATAACGCACGGGTGCACGATGATATCTCGGAGGGGTGTGAGATCGTCCATGGCCATTTGGTTGGTCATCGGAAAATGTCGAGAAAAAGTTTCGATCAAGCAGATACTCGCCCCGCACTCGGCTGCGCTGCCCAAGAGATCATTTTGTTGCTGTCATGGCTACGTCTGGCTTGAGTCTGGGTAGCTTTGGCTGGCGCGAGGTCCCCCCTCAACATATTTCTTTTTGTGATCGGTCGACCGCTTTAGACGTCTTCTGTTGTTTCTTCTCCCGTCCTGTATATTCCCTGCAACTTGTTCCTCCTGTTTGTGCTGCTGCATCTTCCAAAGACCAGAGATCATAGATCAAAATGGGTTCCACAAGTCTCCCCTCCAAGATGAAGGCGTTGAGTATGACTCCCTCGATATCCCCACGCTTGGTTCTCGATTCTGGTCCGCAGGCGGATCCTGGCTGAAACTTCGACTGATCCCGTGTGTGCATCTAGAGTACGATGAGCCAGAAAAGTTCAGCGTCGTCGAGGTCCCCCTCCCTAAGCTTCGTGAAAATGATATCCTGGTACGTAAGCTCGACCGAGACTGAACGAAGAGAATGCTGAGGACAGGACATAGATCAAGGTCAAGGCTTGCGGTGTCTGCGGCACCGACCTGCACATTCACGAGGGTGAATTCTTGGCCAAGGTACGAGCAGCAGCTCAACGTGATGGCCCTGAACAAATCTGACGGAAACCGCAGTTCCCCTTGATTCCCGGCCACGAGACCGTCGGTGTCGTTGCAGCCCTCGGACCCAAGGTTAAGGGTTTCGAAGTCGGTCAGCGGGTTGTTGCAGACAACTCGGAACTCTGTGGAGAGTGCTTCTACTGCCGTCGTGGGGAGGAGCTTCTCTGCGAAGACTTCCAAGCCCACGGTGTGACCATGGACGGCGGCTTTGCCGAGTACTGTGCATACCCTGCCAAACGAGTGTTCCCGATCAAGAACTTGTCCGATGTCGATGCCACCCTGCTCGAGCCCGCCTCCTGTGCCGCCCACGGTCTGGACAAGATTTCACCTAAGATGGGTTCCAGCGTGCTCATGTTCGGCGCGGGTCCTACGGGTCTCGTCTTGACGCAAATGCTCCGCCAGAACGGCGGTTGCCATGTTGTCATTGCTGCACCTGAGGGACTGAAGATGAACCTCGCCAAATCCCTGGATGCGGCTGATGAGTATGTTGAACTGTCTCGCAAGGACCCCGGCCCGCAGTTTGAAAAGATCAAGAGAGAAAACCCCTATGGCTTTGATGTTGTGGTTGAGGCCACGGGTAGTGTCAAGATCTTGGAGGATTCGATCAACTATGTCCGAAGAGGCGGCAAGCTTGTGGTTTATGGCGTCTACGGCAACAAGGACCGTGTGTCGTGGCCACCGACCAAGATCTTCGGGGACGAAATCACCATCCTTGGGTCGTTCAGCGAGACCTACAAGTTCCCTGCTGCCATCGACTACCTTGGTATGTCTTGTCAATTCCTTGCTCTTTCCACGCGCATGCGACTAACGATGGGTTGAATAGACTCGGGCAAGGTCAAGGTCGCAGGCATTGTCAACAAGACATTCAAGCTGGAGCAATGGGCCGAGTGTCTGGAATCGATGAAGAACAAGAGTGCGATCAAGGCAGCCATTGTTTTCGAATAGAGTGCGACATTATCGATGTGTTGTAGTCGGCAGGTCTCCGGTCGTAGGCGAATATGGAAGGGAGGTAGACGGCTCGGTCTTGGAAAGGAGGGTCATTTGGGACTCGAGATGTGTTCTTCTGTGGTCCTGTGGTCGATATGAGAGTGGCAGGGGGAATAGGAGCAGGAAGTCAGTTGTTGAGACGCAGTATAAGGTGACGATGTACTCGGTACTCGGTAGAGATGGTTGCAAGCCACAATTCATTCGACCATCAACCGACTTTCGCACCATCGCGTGCCACCTTTTCCTATTCGAGCATCCTCCACCAAGCATCCGCCATCTGCCCCAGCGACTCCACGTTGTTTGCTTCTCCATCTTGTCTTTGCTATTGTGCCATTGTGGTATGTCTTGTAACAGATGAATGCGCGAGCTCGACTTGGTGCTGTTAAACGAGTATACCGATGATCATTGTGGGCTCCACGAAAGCTGCAACAGTCAACCTGCATCAGCTCTAGGCCGCTTAATTAGCCTACAATGTTCTCTGTTTGCCTCTTCCAGAACGACCGCCCGAGCTGATGCTGTCCAGCTAGCATTGTATACTATCAATGCCGAATGTGTCAAGATATACCTGTGCAGGACTCCAGATTGGTGTAAGGAAAGATCTATCGGCTCTTCCCTTGGATGTCCATCCTTTGAAAGAATCTTGGAACAATCAACTTGGGACGTGATGATGGAACTCTCAGGCCTCCAGACTATCAAACATGAGCTCAAGGTGATCGTCTGGGGTATCTCGAGTCCTGACTTTTGAAGAAGACGGAAAGAGATATCAAACGTCCAAGCTGTTGTGTGGTAAGCGCAGGGAAGGGTGAAGAACACATACATGAACACGTACTACAAATCAACGTGACGACCAGATATCATTCACTTGTTTAGATCGAGTTCTGCCGCACCCATGGATGCTTTGTCCCCCAGTCTCTTGGTCCCAAGGGAATTTTGGTTTACTAATATTTCATCTCTGTCTGAGCTCACTGTCTTCTACATCTACCATCCCCGCTTCAACGTCAGCCTGCTTCGTTGCGATAAGATTATCTACCGAGTAATTGTACAATATCAAACTCTCCTGTACCAGCGAACATGTCACCTTCCAAGGTCCCCGACATGCCCTCGACCACCTCTACCCTCACCCTCCCATTGAGGACTGCGCCGTCCAAGTCAGTCACTCTCGACCCTTACTTCACCCTCCTTTACGAAGACAACAAGCGGAGCTTGCAACACTTCCTCGACAACAAAGCGCCTCTTCCTGGGAAGATCGTGCTCGCAACACCAAGATTCGTCGAATACCTCCTGAGCAAGGAGCCTGGTCCAAAAGTCCAGTACGAAAACCTGCGACCTGCTCTGTCGGCCATTCGGTCCTTCTTGGTCAGTTCTCCTGGGGGTAAGAAGCTGTTGGCCTTCTACAAGCACCTCCTGCAACTTCAAGGCCGCTGGTTGATGGCGACGGCTGAATTGGTCAGCTTTGAACTCTACATCAAGCTCACTCACAATCTGTTCATTTCTCGTGATGACAAAAAGCTCTTGGCCCATTGCATCAAGGTCATTCCAGACGCTCTGTCCAAGGTCGCAAACTACAGCAATGTTGACAGAGCCACCTTTGACACTATTCTCAACCTCGAGAAGAATCGTCTTCAGGAGGCCAGCTCCACCGCAGCAGACATCCTCTTCAACTTCAAAGTCTCCAAGGACTTCTACCATACTCATGGGAGACTTCTCACCGCCATCGAAGTTCATGAAGCCAAACTCGAGGAACTACGTGTGCGAGCTGCCCGCCGTAAAGCTGAGCGCCAGGCTAGGATTCAAGCCGCGTACGCGAGAAATTCTTCCCCGTTCAGCCAACAGATTGGTATGGTGGGTATGACTCCCGTCCATCCTCAAGTCGAAGCTTCGATCAGTCAGTATGCACAGGCGATTCGTGACGAGTTTTTCTCCTTCAACGGAAATACTGGTGACGAGGAGCCTCTTGGTAAGTTTATTCGCTGCCAATCTTGCTGACTTGTATGGCTAACTCATTTGGTGGAGCCCTGACTGTACATCATGATGGCAACGTCACTGCATCCTGATCGGCGATGTGTGTCCAGTTGCACATTGAGATGCTCTCCTTTTCGAGCTGCGGCTATTTTCATCAGCGTCATTCCCTACGAGGAATGGGGCCTTCCAGTGATTGAAAGGATCGACTGAGTTGGCCATGTCCTTGTCAATCCCACCCGGAGCAAGGTCGCGTACGTTTGAGCGTACGATAATTGAATGTGCTTTGGAAAGGATGGATCCTGTTTCCAGGGTTAGATCTTGTTAGCGACCAGGAGCCTGGGAAAAACCTTTTCTTGGACAAGCGGGTTTCTTGGGTGATCGCAGGGAGCAAGCAAGCAAGCAAACAGGGGCGATGACTTCTTGTTCAAACGGACCTTGTCGGACATAGGCAGATGAGGGACCGAATGTCAACCTTCACAGTGGAAATGATTCATGAAAGGGCCTGGTGTGACGAGAACTTTCCAGAGTTTTGGGGTCGGTTTGGAAAAACACTGATTCGAGCTTTTGTACCCAGTCAGCCAGTCTACTGCTAAGGAACTTTCAACAAACATGATCGATCGATCGATTGATTGAAATTGAATTCTAACCAGCGATCTGTCACTTTTTCCCTTTTCGCATATTTGGTTTCTCCTCCCTTCTCTGTCCTTTCAGCAAGTCGCCCTGCCTGCCCGTGAGCAAGGAAAGGCCCTTGACACTATCAAGGTATCAAGGGATGTTTGTTGATAGGCTAGAGGAGGCAAGCAAGAGTAGAAGCAAGCAAAGAAAAAAAGAGGAAGAGGATTGATTTAAAGGTCATTGTGCCCCACGACCAGAACCCGCCATCTTCGTAATCGTCAAGACGACAATCGGTTTCTGTCAAAAATCGATTGCTTTGTCCACTACCACCCAGACTTGAGGACTTTTTTTGTCTTTTTCTTGCCATTTCCACCACATCCGACAAGGTCACCCTCGAGACGGACAAGCATCCCTTTTTTGCAGATGCAGTCGGCCTGTTCTTACACCCCCACCATGTTTCCCGCCAGTCGAGTATCATATCCTTATCACTTTCTGATAGCTCTTTGGTAGAAGGCCAACTCGTCACCCTCCAGAACGTAGCCGTCCACTCTGCCGCTCTGGCCAGGCCGAGAGCTGATGACGGCGTACAGACGGCCGGCCTCGAATTGTCTCTCCAGCGCCGGCTCGATCTTGCCGCTCTTCTTCAACCGCTCCTCCCGCTTCGCCTGCACGCTCCTGCTGACTTTGGTCTCTCCACCTTCGGCAGCCGCAGCACCAGCGCCGGCAGCCTTGGTCTGTTGCGTCCGCTTCCGCCCAATACTCGTGCCGTAGTGCGCTTCGTACCAAGTTCTGAAGGGGGCCGCGTCAATCTGCACAACGGCGGACTTGGTGAGGGTGTTTGTGCGGACGAGTTCGTTGTTGGAGGGGTGGTAGGCCACGACGATGACACGGACCTTGCGGGCGATGCCTTCGCTGCCCCAGGAGAAGTTGCCGCTTTCCAGGCGCAGGGCACGGTATTTGGTATTGCCGCCTCGAGTGCGGACAAGATGGATGCGTTTGGTGCCGATACGGGTGTTGGCTGGTTGACGACCCTTTTCAAAGGCTCTGTAGATAGCGAAAGCACAAATGTCAGACTTTGATCATCTTTGTCTATCTCTCTCTTGCTCAAGGAAGCATCCTCGCATGGTGGGAAAAATGTACCTCTTCTTGCGGTAGTATGCACGCTTTGCACCGGTGGCAGACCGCTTGTGGCGGCTGTCTCGTGAGATACCCATGATTGCGGGACTGAGGAGGCCTGCAAATGAAAGATGAACTTGTAAGTATTGAAATTTTTTTATGTCCACAACAGCAGGTATCGAGTGCGGGATGGATGAGTGATCGAAAGATTTGGGAGGGGAGATTGTTCGTCTTGGTGGGTTCTTCAATGCATTTCCTCCCGCCAGGTGTACACAGCAAATTCATATACTGACCTGATCAAATCAGCAGTCCCCCAGAGAGCAATTAAGAGTACGTCGTCGAGATCTTGTTGAGATGTGGTGTGTATTGTCGTCTCGAGGTAGAGGGTCGTTCAGTCCCACGAATCCAAAAATCGCAAAATCCAGAGAGTGCGCCAGTTCGCCTGCCAAGAATTTTCTTGCCAAGGGGTCGGCTGTTCGTACGGTGGACTGCTGGGATTGGTGAGGTAGTCCAGAGCCAGTTCAAGGCTTCCTATTGGCGGACTATAAGTAAATGTAGAAATCTCACCAGACATGTCATATAACTCACCGAATAATTGCCAAGAGTTGAATCTTGGCGTCGACACTCACACATTCGGCTTGGGGGCTGCACGGAATGTCCTCTGGTTTTGAACCTTCACACCTCCACCTCCACCACTCTTTTTCCAAATTCACCTCCTGTTGTGTGCGATTCCCCGAAGAGCGCCAGGAACTCGCAGCAACATTTTCTCTTCCCTCTCAGATTTTTCATTCTCAGAAAGGAAAACTTAGGGACATTCGCAAAAATGTGGGACACCTTGCCGCCCTGCTTGCTCTCTGAGACAATCCAATGCTGACGAAAAACCTCTGCTTTGTAGGCTTATTCCCAAGGCCGATCGCAAGAAGATCCACGAGTACCTCTTCCGCGAAGGTGTGCTCGTGGCCAAGAAGGATTACAACCTCCCCAAGCACGGCGACATTGACACCAAGAACCTCTTTGTACGTTTGCGCAACCGAGTTGCGATAGACGGGAGAAAAAAAAGCAGGACTAACAAGACATGATGTGTTGCAGGTCATCAAGGCTTGCCAGTCCCTCACCTCCCGTGGATACCTCAAGACGCAGTTCTCCTGGCAATACTATTACTACACTTTGACTCCCGAGGGTCTGGACTACTTGCGCGAATGGCTTCACCTGCCCGCTGAGATCGTCCCCGCGACACACATCAAGCAGCAGCGCAGCCATGCTCCTCCACGTGGTATGATGGGTGGTGATGACCGTGAGCGCCGTGGCGGCGGCCGTGGTGGACCCCGTGGTGATCGTGAGGGCGGATATCGTCGTCGTGAGGACCGTGGTGAGGGTAAAGAGGGTGGTGCTCCTGGCGAGTTTGCGCCTACCTTCCGTGGTGGCTTTGGACGTGGACGTGGAGCCCCTCCTGCGGCCTCTTAGAGGGCTGGAAGATCTGCTTTCCTGGGAGCTGGCCTGCGTGCACATGAACATATGTGAAAGATGAAGACCTCTTTTCCAAAAAGCACATTGTTGAAGGCCCTGGACAAGCTGCGATAGCGCCAGTTGAGCATGTTTCGGAGCGACGCCCAGATTTGATATCTGTGCCAAACTTCGCATGAGACCACATAGAGCACATGGCGAATTGTCATGCATTGAGACCGCAATCACCCTCCGTTGGTCGGCCAACGCGTTTCTGCCGTAGGATTGTTCCTAACTGTTTAAGTGTTCTCACGATATTTTGCCCTTTTCCAAATTTTTGTCATTCTTTATCTCAGTCAAAATCTCCTCTCTCCTTCCTCAGCCTATCCATCCTCAACACCGAATGAAGAAGCACATTCGCCCCTATAGCGCAGTCCTCCTCATCGCACCACTCGCTCGGATTGTGCGAAACGCCATCCTTACAAGGCACAAAGATCATGCCCGTCGGACAGTGCACATTGGTGCAGACGGAATCGTGGCCCGCGCCGCTCAGCATTCGCTGGAGCTTGGTTGCGTCGCCGCCCAAGACAGCCAGGGCGCTCTCCTCGATACACTGCAGTGCCTCTGGGTTGAACGAGATGGCTTCGCTCGAAAAGTCTTCCTTCGTCTCGACCCGGATCTTCGTGAGTGGATTGTCCTTCAACCTTGAAACCCTCTCCGAGGGCGCCGCTTTGGAAGCACTGTGGTTCTTGCCGGCCCCTTCTTTCGCGTCCTGCGAGTCCGTGTGATCACCTTCGTTCACCAGCTGGATAAACTCCTCGACCTTCTTGACCATCCTCTTCAAGCCCCTGTCCAGAGGATTTCTCAGATCTAAACTCATCTCGACATGTCCGGGAACGGTGTTGACGCTGCCGGGAGAGACGTGCATGATCCCCACAGTTGCTAGCCCTTTCAGACTCTCGGCGATCTTGCGAATCTTGTGCAGAAAGGTTGCGGCAAAATAGAGGGCGTCGGCGCGATTGTCGAAATCCGTGGTGCCGGAGTGTGACTCTCTGCCCGTGATCGTGATGGTGAACCACTTGTATGCTTGGACGCCTTCGACAATCCCGATCTTTTGTCTCCTCGCGCTTTCGAGTTTCGGGCCTTGCTCGATGTGCAATTCGAAGTGCGCGCCCAGGGGTGTGCCGGGCTTCCCATCACGGTAGCAAGGGACGTCCCCTAGATATCCAATTCTTTGCAGTTCGTCCTTGACCGTGGCCTGGGGCACTCCCGAACTGACGCTGCGAACACCCCATGCCTTTTCTAGCCCTACGCGTCCAGCCCAGACCGAGCTCCCCATCATACTAACCGGAAACCTAGCGCCTTCTTCATTTGTCCAGTTCACCACGCCCACGTCGCCCTCGGTCTCGATCCAGTTCTCATTCAGGACCCTCAACATCTCGATCCCCGCAGCGACGCCCAAAACGCCGTCGAACCGTCCACCACTAGGTTGACTGTCCAAGTGGCTGCCGGCGAACGTGGCAGGTGCTTCGACTCTGTTACCGGGCCGAGAGGTCGACGACGATAGGCCCGGTCTGATAGCGAAGATGTTTCCCATCTGATCCACATGGGTCCTGCATCCCAGAGACTGAGTGGTGGAGATGAACCAGTCCCGCGCGGATTTGTCGTCGTCGGCGAGCGCCAGGCGCGAGAGTCCCTCAGTCCTGATATCGCCCGTCTTCGGTTTCGCGGCCGAAGTCCATTGCGCTGTCGTGTGGATCGTGTCCCAAAGCCGGGCTGGGTTGACCTTCAATCCGCTCAATTTAGGTCCGTCGAGCTCGGTCGTGCGGAGGCAGAGGGACGACGAACTCGCAAAGGTCCTGATAGAGGTCAATGGGCAATGGCCGCGGTGAGGTCCTAATCTGAGATTGAGCCTGTATAAGGTCGCTGGCGACAGTCGGCCCGTAGCCATCTGGCAAGAAAGGGGGATCGGAATAGCTTGTGTCCCTCAACGGCCAAGTGCAAAACCGCAACTCCCAGACCTCAAGCACTTCCTCAAAAAAAGAATCTCTAAAATAGAGGGCCTATTACCTAGCAGATTATGCTTCTGAGTATTATTATTTACTATGCACCAAACTCAAACTCAGCTAGAAAAATGTAAACTCCATTGACCTAATCATAAGACAGAGAGGTTGCGTTTGGAAATGAAGGTGAGACCTAGTTTCCTGTTCGGTGATTTCGGGTCAATGAATCACCGATAGATCATAGACATCATTCTACCAAACTGCATGGGTACTTATGGACAGCAGTGCTTTATCTATCTGCGTAGGCATTGTATCCCTGAGTGGATTTACCAGTCAATTGGATACTGAGCGTACTAATTCAAGAGTCCAGAGGTTTGTGACAAGGAATGTCTCGAAAGCGAGGCTTTGGAATAAATTCCTCGGGAAAGGCGAGCGCGGGTTCCCAAGGTTCTTCTGACAGCACCCATCCAGTTCAAATTTTGAGAACATCATCGACCCGTCGTGGTTCACAATCACAGGAGGGTACGGGACTCTCCCTCGGCCCAGCTGAGATCACAATCTCCATCATCCTTTCCTATAAACAGTCCCAGACCTCAGTTGGGTAAGGTATCGAGCAGAATGTCGAGCTCTGGGTCCATCCTTTCTGGACTTCGTCGACTCGATTTTTGCTCGTTGTCCTCGGGTATGGCGTGAAACCTCATCTCCTCACTGGTTGAACACCTAGTAGCGCCAATTTCTTTCTGTGCTTCGGTCGCCGGAAACGCGTTAAGGATTGACAAGGAGTCGGTATTTCTTCCACATGAAAGACGACCGGTAGGCCTCTGACGTGGCATGCGGCCTCTCCGCAGACCCGTATATATTGATAATGTATACCACCGACAACATAACTTCGCTGCGGAATTCGGCTCCAGGCATCGTCCCTTTCGTAGAAAGAGGCGTGGTAGGGCAACCGTCTGACCTACGTCGACATTCTTGCTTCAGTTTCATCCCTTGGTCTCCCGTTCCACGCTGTACACCTTGAAAACCTTTTGGCGATCGTCAGGAGGCGGCGTCAGTCCGAGGGACGCTTCGATTTGATCCGAAAACAGCAACATCGCGGACGCATTGAGCATCAGCGCGACACCTATGACAGCGCGGGTCTTTGGGGAAAGAGCCTTGTACGAGCTGTAGACGAGTCAGGCGACAATCTTCGGCGGAAGCAAAGAGGGAACGTACCTCCACAGGGTCATGCTGAAAGATATAGTTGCTGATCCAACTGGTCACAAGCAATGCTATCGCAGCGGATGGCGGAGTAAGGTCGAATTAATATCCGAAGCCTATTGTGAACGGCAGGTAAACCGAGACGAGCCATGTATACTGACATACAGCGGATCATAGGCCCCAGAACTTGCTCTATTCAGTCTATACTTGCCAACTACAAGTACTGGATACATATCCTGCCCAAGTATTAGGTTCAAAAGATAGCTTCCAATACAAAGACGCTGAGCCATATAGTTTCTTCAGAGCAGGTGTCCGGGCAGATCAATCTGCGTTACCTTCCAGAAAGTACTGCGTTTACCGAGTATACAACTACACGTGCTAGTCAGGCGGTCATGATCGACCGTAAAATTGCGTGCTCGATGGCTCCGTCTCAATTACCTCTCTGATTGGCTGAACCGACTTCCCTATTAACTTGAGGGTTCCAGTGGCTCCCCAGCTCCAGTAGCAGACCGTGTTGTGGATAGGTATCCTGACATGCTCAGCCTTGCTAGTCGACAGCAGCAGGCTAGGTCTATACAAACCTGGGTGTTCAGGGAGAATTTCTATCACCAGACGACAGGACCAACAACTCCTGCAGATCTACCAAGTAGAACACTCCAATCATGCATCGGCACGTTCTGCCCCGCACGAACTTTCCATTGACCCAGTCTCCTATCAGGAGAACAATCGGGGTTTCGGGGAACAGCGTCGGTGCCAGCAACTGCGAGATGGCGGTGGGAATGCCCTTACCCCCCCTTTTGATCTTCTCTGCCTCCCACCGCTCCCTCGGGTGCAAACCACTGCTTCATCCCTCTCAAGGACGACATCTCTCCAGTAGAGCTCATCTTTCCAAAGAGTCTCACAGACGTTGTACCTGCTCGCCATGCCAGTTGTAAGGCTGCCCGTGCATTGTGCTGTGTTGTCCAGGGGAATGCCACCATGGCTGACACGCCGAAACAGGCCAAAGTTTGTCCGTACGACGATGGCACGGTCGAAAAACCCATCAATCGGGAGCCGTATATGATCGATCTTGTTTCAAGGTATGGGAAACATTCTCTCTTCACCGAACAAGAATAGTCTCTCAAATTTGACAACAGCTTCATCACCAAATCCGACAACTATGACCGGAACCACGGTCCGATTCAACACAAGGTCGGAACGGACCATCGAGTCACAGTTGACGGGGAGGGCTTCGTCTGCAGGACCCTCAGTCTCACCGTCGACCAGCTCATGAACGACTTCCCGCAAGCCAGGGTGACCTGCACGTTGCAGTGCGCCGGTAACCGCAGACACACTATGCGCACTCGCATCAGGGAGGTCTTGGGAGTCGACTGGGAGGATGCTGCTCTCATGACCTGCGTGTGGGAGGGTCCTCGGGTTCGTGACATTCTGCTCGCCGCCGGAGTTCAGGACCACTGCACCATGGGTGACAATGTACCACCAAAACATGTCCACTTTGCCAATTACGGAGGCAAGACTCAGGCCGACGAGTGGTATGGGGGTAGCATCCCCTTCGACCGGGCTATGGACCCAGCCATGGATGTGATCCTGGCGGTCAAGGTACGAATCGAGAACGCACCGTAACCTTGCCCCCTTTTTCGACGGCGCGTCTGCTGACTTGTCACTTCTTGGGCACAAGATGAATGGCTTGCCTTTGCCTGCCAGACACGGCTTCCCCGTCCGCTCCATCGTCCCGGGAGTGCTGGGAGCTCGTTCTGTGAAATGGCTAGACCGCATCACCGTCTCCGACAGGGAATCACCATGTTTCTATCAGCAGCGTGACTACAAGATTTTGCCGCCCGAGGCGGTTTGTGTTGAAACCGCTGAGAAATACTGGGACCAGTGTCCCTCCATGCTGGACATGCCGATTAACTCTTGTGTTGCCTACCCAACCTCGGGCTCCACGATTGTTCTTCCTTCTTCTGGGAAGATCGAGGTGTTTGGGTATGCTGTTCCACAAGGCGCTCAAGGCCCGGTGGTCAGGGTTCAGGTGTCTGGTGATGAAGGCAGAACTTGGACCGACGCACATCTCGAGGATGGTGGCAAAGATGCCAGTCGTTGGACCTGGTCTCTGTGGAGAGCCGAGATCAAGATGGACAGAGGTAAAGGCAAAAGGATTTTCGCAAAAGCCACCGACGCTGGGGGTAACACGCAGACCTGTGAACGATCAGCTTGGAATCTGAGAGGCGTGGCCTACAATGGCTATGAAGCTGCATTCGATTTGAACATTCTTTAGTTCAATGTTCTAGAGCAGCCGACGATCAGCGGAAGATCGTGGTTGATTCGGAGAGAGATGGTTGAGCAAGAGAGTGAGTTTCTAGCCTTTCACTTTTTGATATAGTGTAGCGGTTTGTTTATGGTGTGTTTGGCAGCGGCACAACCGGGGATGGGTGCTCGGATTGGGCATCAGGATCAGCCGTAGGACATGCCGATCCATACCTCAAGAAGGAATTGACATTGCACAGTGAATATCCACGACAGTTGATATTGGGCATCTTTGCTTTTGCTTTTTGGTAACCCCAGATCTGATCTGGGACATTTCCATTGGGTGATTTTCCAGGTAGTGGCAATGAGGTAGAAACGGCTCATTATGGCATCATTGGCTCAGACTGGCTGGGGCTTGGGACAAGCAAGTCGCCCGTGACGAACCCTAAAGAGGCTTGGTGGGACATCGGCAGTGGTCGTACTCGTAGTTAAAGAAAGGAGGCGGGGTGTACCGAGTACGAGGTACTCCGTTGACTGCCACAGTGCCTACTGCGTACCTGGAGCAACGTGCTGGTTGATCAGAAGGGGGTTCACCGAAAGGGGACTGGAAAAGCGTGGACAACCCGGAGTACGGATACAGGTGGAAACGGGCGCACCCTGCGACCTGCAGCCAGCCCGTTTCAGGCAGCCCTGCCCATTCCATCAAGCCCATCGAGCCTGGTTGCAGAAACGCGCAGAAGAGACCATCTCAATCCAATCCGATGAAATAACGGAGTCCCTCGTATAGGCGACATTGGCCTGTACTTCGGCAAGATTCGCTCTTAAGGAGCAGTAGTGTTCCTCTTCCTCTTCTTCTCCGACGTGAGGTGCAATCTGGCACAGTGACCACTCTATCGTCTTCAGGTGGTTTTCTCCGGCGCACAGGGTATTTTTGTGTCAGACAATATTCTCATTGTGCAAAGTTTGGCTTGAGATCCCAGTACAAGTGCAGCACGCCCCAGCTACCAACCCCTACTAGCCTAGCTCTAGAGGCACCGGGGCCCGGGGGTCCTCGTCAGAACCGCATCTGCTCGTGCACCGGAACTCGGGAACAGGCGCTTTCCCCTTCTGGAAATGAAAATCAGTTGATATTTCAGTCTAGGAGGAGCGGTACCAAGAGGCTCTAAACGGGGTGGAGGACCGCGAGCTGAAGTTGCAGGGCTCAGACGTGATGTGATGGAGGACCCCTGGTGGTCAGTCTGTGTCAACCTGCGTCAATCAGTGAAGAAAGCAGAGACAGTCAACACGACAGGCCTCCCTCTGTGGTACATTTGAGCCCCTCAGTGCGCCACTGGCAGCACGCCAATGCCCGGGGCTCGTGGAAGACCTGGAGACCAATGCATCAGCCCGCAGGCAAGTGCAGAGTCGAGGGTGGACCCCGCGCTGATGATGATGGAAGGGGATGCGGTCCCGGAGTACAAAATAAGTGTGAAATTCTGCTGGATTAAAAAGTGTACGAGTAAGCTTTTTTTTTTTTTGCACAGAGCCCTTCGCGCCCCTCGCTGCGAATCCCACGTTTCCGGAATTTGGTGGATGTGGGAGCTAGCCACCTAGCCTAGTACAACGCCTGGCAAGTGCCCACTATCAGTAGCCTAGGTACTAACAACCTTTGCCTGCTCCCCTGGTCCCGGGGCCCTAGCAAGCATCCTCGTACAGGCACAGGGAGCTTCTAGCTCACGGAACTGACAGACGGAGCCTTACTTGAACCGTGCTTCGCAGCTCCACCAACTAGCATTAGCAGAGCAGGCCGTTTTCCGGAAGTCCAGGGCCCAGCGTCCTGAAACAAGCCACACTGACCACGCAGGTGGGAGGACCTTTTTTAAATTTTTCTGACGTCCTTCGTCCTTGCTGTTTGTGTCGCCGCGGTTAGCCTACTGCACGCGAAGCAGGGCTGTCATCGACTGCAGATATCCACGAGGAGGCATGGTAAAATAAGACGTCGCTTGCTGTGTGAGAGCCAGTATTAGTAGGTAGAGTAGATATTGAATGGGGCATGTTGGTTGCACTCACCTTGGTTTGTGCGGTCATCAATCAAACATGCGTAGGACAGCATGGTGAACCCATGGCCACGGTACCCTCGCCTGTCGGCCCCGGAGTGATGGAAACCCCAGCAGTAGGCAGATGCTTTGAAGGTCACACGTCCATGCAATTGAGATTCGAGAATATGGGTGACAGTGACAGCCCCAACGACCTGCGCCGTGGCCCACCATATGAGAATACCCAGTAGTAGACAGGGCTTCTTCTCACACCAAGTTATCGTGGGCATTGACTTTCTTTGCAGCAGGGACAAAGAACAAGAAGAGAATCGCTTGTAAACCAGCCACCACCAAACCCAGGAATCCGGTCGGTGGTCTGCAGCCGTTTGGTCCTTAACTTAGGTTTAGCGGGTTGGTTTGCGTGGGAGTGGGATACCCAGAGTCAGCCACTGGGTAACTGGACTGGAAAAGCCGAGTTGAACGTGAGTTTGTGGTTTAGCTCCCCCGATTTTGCCTCGACAAACTTGACTGCTTGCACCCGAACTGAACTCCATCTCTGCTGTTGTTTCCACTTGGGATTCTCATCTTTCTCCCCAACTCACTTTCGCAGCCATCGGCATCACTCCCGTCCGTTTTTGATCTTTGTCGAATTGCCTCTCTTTTCCTCCGTATCCTGTTGTCTTCAGGGGGAATCCGAGAGAGGTTGACCTGTATCAAATTCATCTTCGCCGCTTGTCCTGCACTTAACCTTCCCCCGAGCTGCTGGAGTT